ATCTGAAGAAGTGGGGTTTTTTACCCACGAAAGTTTATGCCCAAATAAATCTGTTAGTCCTTAAGGTGCCACCGGCGTCCTCATAATAAAGAAGGGAGAACAGATCTCTCTTTCCTATTCTGGCAGCACAGCTGCTTCTGAAATTCTTTTGTGGTGGAGTATTTGAGGAAAACCCGATAACACAATGCTACAATATTTAAGATGAGCACCTAGGAGCCCTGTGTTCAGTCACACTAGACACTTTGCATGCCCCAGGTAGATGTATGTGAAAGTGAGAGGGGTGGGGACAGGGGTCCCAGCTAGGAGGTGTAGACTCTCCCTAAGGGTCCCCAGTCTGGTTGAACCTGTTCCTTCCCACTGTTCAAAGATAGAGCTAAATAGGCTTCATTAGGAGCCTTTGTTAAGTACTCAATGAGAGCTGAAATCACTTGCTGTGGGGCAGTGTTTCTGCTATGTCTACACTAGAAGCACTAAGGCTATGTCTACACTAGAAACTTCAAAGCACTCCGCTGGCACTTTGAAGTGTGTGTGGTCACGTGGGGCTGTCCACACTAGCACTTTAAAGTGCTCAAACTTGCTGTGCTCAGGGGGGTGATTTTTCACCCCCCTGAGCCAGCAAGTTACATTTTATAGTGCTCTAAGTGTAGACAAGCCCAAAGAGACTGACCTACAGAGGTCACAGGAGACAGGCAGGTGGCAGCAGGTGGTGACTGCCAGGCAAGGAGGAGCAGCAGCTGGCAGGGCAGCCAGGCAGCAAGGAACAGAAGCTGGCAGGGTGGCCAGGCAGAGCAAGTGCTCAGATGGTGGAGCAAGCCTGGTGTCTTCTTCCCTGAGTAACACTTCACAAATGCACTTCTGAACCCTGGGTCCTCACTGACCAAGGACAACCACTGAGAGTGGGGGATGGGGAGGGAACAGAGGGGGGCACAGAAAAAGAACTTTTGGTTGTAGAACTCAACATGAGGCTCCTGGTGGGGAGCTGAGAGCCCCTGGGGACTGCAGCCTCACTGGGAGCAGGGAGCCCCCCATTCGTCCTGGGGTAATAGCCTGAGCTGTGATGGATTTTGTCAATTTCATGGCTCCAGCACTGAACTGTGAAATTGACAAGAATGACAGCCAACAGCCAATGTAAATATCCCAGAGTGTACACACACACACACACACACACACACAGTGTCACCCTAACTACACCGACACAAGCCCCATGCCTTGGAGTCCCATGGAGGTGGAGTTATTATATCTGAGTAACAGGTCACTTACATCAGCAGGAGCAAGGCTGTAGTGTGTGCACTGTCATAATTGGGTCCATGTAGGCTGCCTTATGTCCACCTAACTCTGTAGTGTAGACCAGGCCCTAGTAAATCATGGGAGAAGATACTAGAGGAACTTGAGAGATGTCTGTTCTTAGAGATGGTAGAGTAATTAACCAAACTACAAGTTGTCAGATGCTGTGGGACAAGGCAGAAATGGTTTGTGTTAGAGTTTTAAATGAAAATCTGGAACTAGGGGTAGCTGAACTGAGCTGCTGAAGTCTGTTTTCATTTCTTGGTCTCTATTCTTAGAACTCCTTTTGCAGTAGTCAGGTAAGGAAAATCCATCCTCTTCTAGAAGCGGTTCAGAATGCCGGAGCTGTTCTTGCCGGCCTGCGTCACTTGGTGAGGCCTTGGAAGTTGGGCTCCGTACACTGAGGCAACACTGCCTGCTGGCTCAGCAGCTTGTCAAGGATGCTAATTTCAGCATCTCGTTTCTCAATGTTCTCGGATGAAGTCCAGGACATGTCGTGCTGAAGCTTATAGGCACCAAGGAACTCATGTGGGCAATTGGTCCCCCATTCCTGTAGAAAACAGGTGACAAGTTCATGTCAGGATTTGGTCTCACTCACGGGAAGTTCAGCTGTTACACAGATTACACACAGGTCTGTCTACTAGGACTGAACTGCTCTACCAACATTGATAGATTTTAATATTCAGAGTGCTGTCACACTTCCTAACAAAGGACTTTCCCCAGTTTTGAAAGCTTGCTTCCCTTCTTGTGGTACTAATGATTTGCTAGCCCTCCGAAGGAAAAAGTTGTACCTAGACACAAACGTGGTGTATTTGAGTGTGTGCTCACTAACAGGAAAATAAAAATGGAAGGTATATGTTAAGAATAGTAAAGCATATAATAGCTATGCGCGTGATATGGGGGGTGGGGGGAGATGGGACTCAGCGGATCTTGCCTAGACATATCTGTTCGGGGGGAAAGGGGGAAACAGGGGGGAAAAGAGGACAGATACCAAGAGTCATATGAATTGGAGGATTCAAGCAAACTCACTCATGTTAGTTTGGTTTGATGAAATACCCAAATGCTGGTTTCAAAAAACTTAACACGAGTACCAGGCTATTCAGAGCCTGTGACCGCCCTAGACATGCGAGATTAAGCAACCCTGCTGATGACTCAGGCATATTTTAAGGCCTATTACCATACTTTCTAATACAAGCTCTGTGCAGTGACAGAGCTGACAGGGACAGAGCAGTGGCTTAGCCAACTAGAGGCATTCATTGCCATGGGCCTCGATTTGTGGTTTGCTCCTTTCTGTACTATGCCATTACAAAATTTGTTTTTATTAAAGAATGTGAATTGGATATTGGACACTTCAGAGAGAAAATACAACTTTTACCTCAGAGGAGGTTCCTCGGAGTGGGGTAACATCATGAGCAAAGCCCTAGGAGGCTGTGATCTCTATTCCTGAACAATCACAGTACTGGTATAGAGTGAGCATGGTCACCAGAAGGGGGTACATGGGGGTGGGAGGAGATGGTATCACATAACATAGCATTCCAGCCCTTTGGGGCATGTCATATGTAACCCTCTTGATATGTAACAAGACTCCTCAATTTTATATTTAATGAAAACTCTAAAGGTTCTTTAGCTCACACCCAAGGAAAGGACAGTTGTGGCTGCCTGGAGCAGGGGAGCTTCTCTGAGACCTCCCCACTAACAGTTAAGTAGCCCCCGGTTTCCATGTCTAAACACATGAAATGCTCAACTGTGAGGAGTCAGTGAATCAACTTTTGGGCTTAAACATTGGAAAAGATTGTCCTGAGAAGATTCACTGACATGGGGTTCAGAGGAGATGGATTGGCCAGCATGCATGTTAATTCCACCAGGAGGGGACTCCTTGAAATCTCCCATTCAGTTCTCAGGTCAACCTAGATTTTTTTTTTTTTTTGGCCTGCTTTCTAAACAGCTAAAATCTTTTCAGCTTTCCTCAAAGACTATTTCACCATACAGCTCCCAAGCCAACCCGTGAACACAAACCAAGTCACCAACAACAAAAACTACCCTCTTAAGAGCAGCTTTGGTAAGTGCACCCCCATTAGGTCAATGGACCCTTTGCTGAGAGAGCCGACAGAATGAGACAGCCCCCAATGTGTGCTGGCGACATCCCCTTCATGCTCACTCTTGATTCCCACTCTTACACAAGAGTAGGTTACCACCTACCTTAGGAGAAAGGATGGAAAAGTATCTCTGGCCACTTTCCCGCCTGTACAGGTAGTAGATGTTTCCTGGTTTCTTCACAATATTGCAGGCTACATGATGAAGATCAGCATCTCTGTTAGCTTCGTCCAAGACCTACACACAACAGAATTGTAAGACTCCTGCCCCCTCTGAAATCCACAGCTGAAAAATAAAATGCAACGCTAACACCTCAGACTATACAGCACGCCCTCCAGCACTGAAACACAGCAGCAATTCTCCACCAGGAACACTATGCTGTAGTTCTGGAAAGGAAGGGAAGAACCTCCCTCAGTAAAGTCAACTAAACAATATGGGCTAATTTGTGCCAATGTTTCATAACTATCAGCACTACGTAGACTCTTCCCTTGGAATCTAGCTTGGCTGTTCCATCTAACAGACCTGCTAGACAAAGGCCACAGGTTTATTAGTGAGCATGGGGCTTCATGGCTCCAAATTTCAAGTTCCAGGACTTGCTTCTTAGAAGTTGGGGGGAAAGGAAAACTTTTATAGTTATCTGTTAACTCTCTGAGGCTTCCGTAGGTGTCTACAATGGCCAACTACAACCCAATGGAGTGTCAGAGCTAAGACCTGCTAATGATGGATCACCACCAAAGACTCTGGGCTGCTGAGCTGAGGGAAGCAACACAGATCCTGCCTTTACTAGATTAAAGCACTTGCCTTTCACACATGGGTTCAAATCTGTCTCAGGATCACAAATCAGTCAAGTAACTGAGATCAAGTCTATAGGGAACTGTGTCCTTAACAAGCGAGGACAGAAATTCCCTGTGAAAAGCACGTTACACACCCATCCTTGACACCTCTGCTACTTTCGAAACAGTCATACAGACCTCGAAATCTTGTCCTCCCTTGGCTTTTGTAATTGTGTCAGCTCTGAGCTCGCCTTCCATCTCCCTGGTCATTCAGTCAGTATCTCCTTTGGTGGACCCTCCTCCTATTCTCCATAGACCCCCCCCAGGTTTATATCCTAAACCCAATCCTCTTCTCCCTTTACATCCATCCTCTCTGAAAATCTAACTACTCACATGGCTTCATTTAGCTTTTTATGAAGAGGACAGCTCTAGCTCTCCACTCTATGGAATCCCAGATCTCCTCCTGGATGTTTTGCAATCAAGATTAATTTAACATAGCTAAAACCAAGCTTCCCAAACCACTTTCCTTCCCAAACCTGGGAGTAAGCCATCTTTGAGTACTCTTTCTCCTACCCCACACATTCAGGTTGCATCCAAACCTTGTTGTTTCTTCCTCTGTAACACCTAAGATGTTAGCTTAGATACTGGAGCACAATTCTGTGGTGTGGGAGGTTTATGTCACAAATCCTATCATTCCAGTGAGACAGCTGCTTTTGCTTTAGAGAGCGCTCCTTTCCCAAAGAGTATGAAGTGTACAATCTCCTTTACTCCATAAAGTTGGGAGCCAGCTCAAAGGTCTGACAGTTGCTGGTCACATATTCTGTATCAAGACTTTTGCCCTCCTCCTTCCACACACTACTCATTCCTGGAAAGGGATTTCTCTGCCAGCGACAGAACGGTTTGTGAAAGAAGAGTTGGACTGCTGCCTGGTTTTTCCTGTTCTCTGTACCATGAAATGGATACACAACTCCAAACCATGTACCATTCTGACAGGTACTAGAAAGCAGTTCAACCTGCAGGATTGACAGATAAGCACTGATAATGCTAAATTCTTCCTTACCTTCCGGGCCTGCTCCTGCAGATACCGGATTTGCTCAGCTATGACAGTCAATCTGTTGCAGGCATTAGCTCGGATGAATTCATCTGCCTGTAGGAAAGAGGGAAATTTTAATAAGCAGGCATCAGAGAAAACTTACTGGCCTTCTCACTCCTTGCAAAGATTAGTCTGTATGGGTTCAATGCCTGCCAGCTCCACTCCCACCATGTCGGCCTTGCTGACCTCACCAAAACTCAGGCTGGTTATTTCAGGTAATGTTATGGAAATTGCACAGTGTGCATTGTTACACGAAGACTGGCATGAAAACTTGCCATAAGCAGCCTGAGTTTTGGTATGGTCATAAAGTAAGTGCTTCCTGAACCTGTCTGACAAGGTTTAGGCTCTGAAACACGAGATTTGTCATTTAGCCAGGCAAAAGCTCCTAGTGTAAATACAGCTAGACAACAAAACCTTACTTTTGCTGGTAAAGCTTGTTTAATTCGAGAACCTGCAATAGGCTATACCAGTAGAAGCTCAGTTTTGCCAGTATAAGTTGTGTCCACTAGGAGTGCTTTGATGGTACAGTATAAAAGTTTAGTCACACTTCCTGTAGCAATAAGTTCCACTCTTCAATTGTGTGAAAAAGTATTTCTTTTTATCTATTTTTAATTTCCCACCTTTTAATTCCATTAAACATTCCCTTCTTACGTTTTGAGACAGGAGAACAGAAGTTCCTGATCTACCTTCTCTAAGCCATTCATTGTTTTATGTATTTTTTATCATGTCCTGTCTTCTTGTTCTCCTTTCAAAGGCAAACAAGTCCAATCCTTTCCTCGATCATTCTTCTCACTCTTCTCTGAACCACCTCGATCGCTGCAATATGAAGTATAAGCCTATGTCTAAACTTAAAACACTACTGCAGCTGCGCCACTGTAGCACTTCAGTGTAAACATTTACTACAGCAATGTTCTCCCATCACTGTAGTAATATCCACCACCCTGCAAGGCAGAACTCTTCCATCCACGTAGTGGCTACATTGGGATTTAGGTCAGTTTAACTACATGGCTCAGGGGTGTGGCTTTTTCACACCCCTGAGCAAAGTAGCTGGGTCAATCTAGGGGTATGTCTACACTACGAGAGTAGTTCGATTTTAGTTAAATCGAATATGTGCAATCGATATTAGAAAGTCGAACGTGTGTGTCTACACTAAGGACAGTAATTCGACTTTGTCAGTCCACACTACCAGGGAAAGCGTCGACATTGGAAGCAGTGCACTGTGGGCAGCTATCCCACAGTTCCCGCAGTCCCCGCTGCCCATTGGAATTCTGGGTCGAGCCCCCAATGGCTTCTGGGTAAAAAATTGTGGCGAGGGTGCTTTTGGGTAACTGTCGTCATCCGTCAGTCACTACCGCCCTGCCTCCCTCCCTGAAAGCGCCGGCGGGAAATCAGTTCGCGCACTTTTTGATCAGTGACAGCGCGGACGCCACAGCACTGCGATCATGGATCCCGCTGCGACCATCGCTGCAGTTGTGGCCGTTCTCAACACCTCGCAGCTTATCATACACCTTTCCCACAGGCAGATGCAGAGAAATCAGGCGAGGAGGCTACGGCACCGCCGTGAGGGCCTGAAGTCGGAGAGTAGCACAGAGCTGTCAGAAACCACGAGCCCCAGCGCCCAGGACATCACGGTGGCAATGGGGCATGTGGATTTTGTTGAACGGCGATTCTGGGCCCGGGAAACAAGCACGGACTGGTGGGACCGCATAGTGCTTCAGGTCTGGGATGAATCCCAGTGGCTGCGAAACTTTCGCATGCGGAAGGGGACTTTCCTGGAACTTTGTGACTTGCTGTCCCCTGCCCTGAAGCGCAAGGACACCCGCATGCGAGCAGCCCTGACTGTCCAGAAGCGAGTGGCCATAGCCCTCTGGAAGCTTGCAACGCCGGACAGCTACCGGTCAGTCGCGAACCACTTTGGTGTGGGCAAATCTACCGTGGGGGTTGTTGTCATGCAAGTAGCCAAGGCAATCGTCAAGGTACTGCTGTCAAAGGTAGTGACCCTGGGAAACGCGCAGGCCATCATAGATGGCTTCGCTGCGATGGGATTCCCAAACTGCGGTGGGGCTATAGATGGGACTCACATCCCTATCCTGGGACCGGGCCACCAGGCCAGCCAGTACATCAATAGAAAGGGCTACTTTTCAATGGTGCTGCAAGCACTGGTGGACCATCGGGGACGGTTTACAAACATCTACGTCGGATGGCCGGGCAAGGTTCATGACGCTCGCGTGTTCAGGAACTCTGGTCTGTTTAGACGGCTGCAGGAAGGTATTTACTTCCCGGACCACAAGATAACTGTTGGGGATGTGGAGATGCCTACAGTGATCCTCGGGGACCCAGCCTACCCGCTAATGCCCTGGCTCATGAAGCCCTATACTGGCGCCCTGGACACAGAAAAAGAACTCTTCAACTACCGGCTGAGCAAGTGCAGAATGGTGGTGGAGTGTGCTTTTGGCCGTCTCAAAGGGAGATGGAGAAGCTTACTCACTCGCTGTGATCTCAGCGAAACCAATATCCCCATCGTTATTGCAGCTTGCTGTGTGCTCCACAATCTGTGTGAGAGCAAGGGGGAGACCTTTATGGCGGGGTGGGAGGTTGAGGCAAATAGCCTGGCTGCTGATTACGCCCAGCCAGACAGCCGGGCGATTAGAAGAGCCCAGCGGGACGCGCTGTGCATCCGGGAGGCTTTGAAAGCCAGTTTCAAGGCTGAGCAGGGTACCCAGTGACTTTTAAGTTTGTGGACACAGAGGCAGAACTTGCCCCCGTTTCTTTACCCAGTTGCCGTCGACTATCCTCTCCACTTACATACCCCCTTCACCCCCTTCCCAAAAAATAAAATCTGTTCTGTTTTGTTAATGGACACCGTTGTCTTTATTACTGTTTTCGCGGGAATGTTTTAAACCTGGGACGCAGACTGTGGCGGGGGGCGGGTTTAGGGTTGTGATGCAAATGATGCTTCTAAACTCCAGGAATGACAGGCTCCGCGGTGGTGGACTGGTTGTTTCAACGGAGCCTGCCAGCCCTCCTGGCCAGGACTGCGTGTATGTGTCGACTATGTGACTGTCTTGCAGGGGGAGGAGGGTTACAGACCCCCTGCTGCGCGGCTCTGTGATGCAGGGTAAGGACCGCAGCATAAGATCTGTAACTGCCCTCCCCCGCCACCAAGTCACAGAGCAACACCACCGCCCCCACCACACAAAACATGAAAACCACCTCCCAGACTGACCAGGATAACTAGTCACTGCACTGTATATGTGCCCTGCTGCTGCACCTGCCCCCTGCTAAAGGTGACTGTCCTGTCCAATGACCAAGCCCCTTCCCCCCCCTTCAGACAGACTCCCCTCCAAAAGAAGAGGATGGAAACAGAAATGAACAGAAACGTATTCTTTATTAACAACCGCACATGGAACGGGGGGGTGAAACTTGGACGGGGTCTTGTGTGAGGCGGGTAGGAAAGGACTTTTCAAATTTTGGGGAATGAGAGCCTTCTAGTGGTAGAGCAGTCCGCAGGGGTGGAGTGAAATTTTTCCCGGCCCCTTCCACCCCTCCGTGTTTGGACTTTGGGTGAGGGGGGTATGGGACTTGGTGGCGGGGCAGGGCAGTTACAGAGAGACTGCAGCGGGGCTCTCTCCTCCTGCCTCCGGTCCTGCAGAACATCCACAAGGCGGCGGAGCGTGTCCGTTTGCTCCCTCATTAGTCCAAGCAGCGTTTGAGTAGCCTGCCTGTCCTCCTGTCGCCACCTCTCCTCCCGTTCCATGTTTGCCCGGTGCATTTGGGACAAGTTCTCCCTCCACTGTGTCTGCTGGGCTGCCTGTGCTCGGGAGCATCCCATTAGTTCAGCAAACATGTCTTCCCGTGTCCTCTTCTTCCTCCTCCTAATGTGCGCTAGCCTCTGGGCAGATGTGGCTGTGGGAATTGGAAAAAGGGAGTGAATTCCTGAGACAGAGCAATGTATCTGTGAACAGAGAACATAGTCTTTCTCTGTGAACAAGACCATGCAGAGCACCTATCACACGCGCACTGAGGACAAGGTCGAATTTTCGGCCCTCGCCTACAGTGCCTGCGGTCTTGCTGTGGCGAGCTGAGGAGCAGGGCAGGACACCGGACTTTGTCTAGATGGCAAACATGGTAAGCCGTAGACTTGTGGCCGCTTAAAACTTTAAGAGTGGCACTGGCCTTCTTTCACATAGAAAGCAATGCGAGTCTCTGCTGGCAGCAATCCTGCAAGCATGAACTCTGGCCCTGTCCCAGCCCCTCGCGGCTGTAAACCGCGTGGCTGTAAACCGGCGGTTGCAGTTCTGTAAAGGGACGGGCAAGCAGTCCCAATACTAACTTTCCCCTACCTAATTCACAGCAGGGAGTCATGCCAGACATCACCCTCCTGAAGGTCTCCGAGAGCCAGAAGGAGAAGATGCTCCGGGACAGCCTGCAGAAACCGGGGCCATTTGCTGCACTGCTCTGCAAGGCCATGATCCCGGAGTACCTGCTGGCGTTGTGGCAGGGAAACGTGTCCTACCCCGGGGGGCCTAATAAGCTCTCCCTGCCCAGGAACCTGCTGATGAGGCTGGAAAAACACCTGCAGGAGGTGTATGAGGAGTTCTCCCCGGAGGATGTCGCCTCGATCCCCGGTTACATTGACCAGTTCTTGGCTTAGGTGCCCTTGGAGGGACAAATGACTGCAGGGTTTTGGGCACTATAATCATGAAGCGGACATTGTGAAATTTTTTGAAAATGGTTCGGACTATATATTGAGGCGCCCAAAGACAGAGTAATCATGATACACTTTGCACTGATTCCCCTTTTGTTTGACTTTCCTGTTTACATGTTTTAAAGCACTTTACCCACTGTTAATATTTTAAATATGCCAGTTATGTTGTAAATAAATGTTTGGATATTTAAAACACTTACTGCTTGATCCTTCCCCTGAATCTGTGTCTGGGATAACGGCTGGGGAGGGTTGGTAGGGGATCTCTGTCAGGGTGATGAAGAGCTCCTGGCTGTCGGGCAAATCAGCGTTGTAAGCGCTGTCTACTGCCTCGTCCTCCTCATCTCCT